TTATTATTATTATTATTATTGTTATTATTATTATTATTATTATTATTATCATTTGTTACTATTATTTTTATAACAAGAGTGTTTCTCTCTTTATTACCCGCGCTAATACTAACAACGTAGACCGCTTGCTTTTTTTTTACACAAGTAGACACGCACATTAACTAAATAATTAACTTAATAATTAACCCGCTCTTATAAACATTTTATCATTGTTAATTAATGTTTTTGTCAGAAATAAAGTAGTGATGCCCTGAAAACTGAACCATGTAATAATATCTCTAGAAAAATACTGGGCTGAAAAATTAAAAGACCACACACACTGAAGGGTGTTAAAAGCTTGGAACTTGTTTAAAAAAATAAGCGATCACTCCCCGAATTACATCTACTTTGGAGGGCAATTGTCTGAAAACAACAGTGCAGCTGCAATAGTCTTATAATATTCGTTTCATAATTTGACTGGCTCGCAGAACAATTAATTAGCCCTTGAGCTGCTAATATGCATAACATGACTGTGAACTTTATATTTTTCTTCACAAGTTATTAGCAGCAAGTTGCGGCAGAGAAGAAAAAGACGGGAACATGTATGTTCCCCTTCACGTTGGCGTTTTCTTCACACTGCTGTTTTTCTTAAAGGTTGCCTTCGCCTGCATTGGTGGTATGTGTTGTAACTTCATTTTGCAAGTTTTTTCTTCTGTTTTCACATAAAAAAGAATCTTCTTGGGGAGGAAGAGTTTCAATCAATCGCTGCGTCACGTTTTCCTGGTCGTGAAGATCTTTTCCAGCCGTACAATGAAAATTCTGCTAGTCTACTTGAAAAATTAAGAAATAAAATATTTAGATTTGCAATATCTGGACATCTTCTATTCAAATGCTACGTACGTTAAGGGTTTGCAAGAAAAGTTACTGTAATGAAAATAACAGAAAAACATTACAAAGTAGAGTCATTCGCTAAAATGCTCTCATATTATATAGCATTCTTCGTTTGAGCCGAAATTGTTTTTCGTTGAAGGAAGCTTAAGTGTTGCGTGGAAACCCCCGCCCCACGCATGCGAGAACTGTAGCAGGTGCTAATTATCCACAAGCCCATATCAAACTTCTCTCCGGCCTTCGCTGTTAAATGCAGAATGTTGAAGTTTTTTAAGCTAGGTGTTGAAGTGTAGCTAAAGAAGACACGCCGATTCGTAGATATTTTCTTGTTTCTTTGATTTAAAGATGTCTTAAAAATAGGTGTGTTAAAGTTTATTTTTTGATTGCTAATACTTGATTAAACAGTCTTGAACGTATTTTTCATTTACTTTTTATATGAATTTATTTGAGAAGCAAAATTTTACTTTGACTACGTTTTGTTATAACAGTTTACTGATGGTCAGTTATTATGGTTACGAGATATAACGTCATAAGTAGCAGGTGGTCAAACCAATTTTGAGTAACAATGAATGTCTTTTCAACTTCTTTCAACAATAAGAGTAAAGCTTGTGTATGCGTAGATGCAAAATGCTTATTTATGTGTTATTCATTACAGAAACGCGCCCATTGAAAAACGTCGCCCGTGAAAAGTGGGGTACCCATTAGGCTTTGCGAGCAAAAACGAAGTTTCAAAGACTACCGTCGTTTTCGGTCTCTTATGAACTTCATAGCGGTTAACTATTCTCACACTTTCAAGAGACAATGCAGAAACAATAGAAGTAGGTTGCCATTGTTTTAAGTGTTGGAATGTCTTTGTCAGTGCTTCAAGTTTATGCAAAGAGAAGCATTTTTCTTCCTCGTGCACTAACATAAAACCCTCGCGAATTCGGTAGTCTCGTCCGAATCGTTTTGATGGCAAAACAGTTCAAGCTAATCAGAAACCAAATTATTCTTCACGTAAAAACTCATCTTCACGAAAATCACTCGATAAGATTGAATAAAAATGTTTACAGCGTTTATAAATATTATTATCAGAAGCGGTATTGTAGTTGTTTTCAAGAGACGGATTAGATCGCTGTTTAGGTTTGGCCGTTAAATATGTAGTTATAGCGTTCTTAAAGAAAGTGTCGCTCTTAATTTTACCTTATACTTTGCTAAAATCAATATCTTAAATGAAGAATGTAAGTGAGAGTGCTTTTTCGTCGAATTTGCCCGTAAATTTTAAGGTTTATCATATTATCCAAAACCCGTGACAAAATGTAAACAAACTATTAACGCATCGGTTGCGCTCATATTTCATCGATCGATTCGAACACCAAGAAGTTTGTAAAAGGTAAAAATTCATTTTAAGTCAGTGCATTGAATTATTTACGGCAAAATCAACAACAATCATCGAGGATTTTTCAATTTTGAAGCGTTTAACAGCAAAAAGTCACATGCTAATTCGGAGTAAATTTAGACAGTTTTTAAACAGACTGAGCTATTGTTAGTCGCGTAAAGTTCTATTCTTCATCGAAGAATAGGCAAATGTTGCGGATGTCTGAGCAGGAACAATAACCAGGAAAGGGATATACCCAGGGGATTTCTTGATTGA